TGATCATTGCCTGTAAAATCAGGCCAATGTGCAAATCGCCAGAATTAGCCAGCATCTGAAATTGCTTTAGTGTTTGCTCAGTTTGCTTCCGTTTTCTATTATCTCCTTCCCTCAACCTACTCTCCCCCCCCCTCGCAGCCTCGCCAAGTGACGTTATAGGCCTTATCACCCAAAGCTGCGCAGAACTCTGAAGTGATGAAACCTTAATTTTATAGACCTTGCTGGGCACAACTAGAGTCGCACTGATACGCGAAGCAAGAAAATGGGGAGGAGCGGGAATAGGCAAGGTGGTCTGAAATCACCAGATGATTGGTTGGTCGTCACATTGCAGGGAAATGCATTATTGCATATGTAGACTACAGGGTGTTATTGACCACTTCACTAACATCAGTAAAGAGTATGCATTGAAAAATTATATAATGTACAGCACAAATAAATCTGCGTGAATGGTTGCCAGGCCTCATACGTCCAATTTGACAGGGTATTACTAGCTCTCTTATGAATTTCGTTCTCAGTTTTAAAGACTTGGGGCATACTGTATCTAATGACTTCGAGGACGATTTAGATATCGAGAAACAGCTGAGGAAATTTAATACTTTAGGTAATAATATAATCGTAGATTTAGTTTCAGTTCAGAAGACGCCAAATGCCAGTTGTTTAGATCCCGTTGTTCTGAAGTGTAGGGCTTTTTGGGCTTGTTACAATCTGACTTTTATTAGGAAACTCAAAATGTGTCGTAATAACATATTCAGGCAGCTTTGTATTCCAAGACGAAACAATTCATGCAGTCCAAATCCAGTAACCGAGAGGCGACATTAAGGACCGTTGCGTATAGTGTAAGGCTAACAGTGTTCCAGGGGGAGAATTCTATTAAAATGCATTGTTCTCCTTCAGTGCTTTTACTTCTTCAAGACAACATATATTGGCATCCAATGCAACAATTAAAAATTGATGTACACCTTCATTTTCTTTCTCTAGCAGGAGCTTTGTGTTTAAATTATGTTAATATATATGATCATATTTGTAGAAATAGATAG